TTTTTTTTAAGAGTATAATATTTAGACTCCATTTGCCTCATAAAGCTGCTGGGCAGGGCTGGACAGCGCTGACAGCCTGACTCCTATAATTCTGAACCAGATTTTAAACCTGATACTGGTTCACTATGTTGGGGTGAAATGTTTGTGCTGAACTTTTTTTTTTAAAGTTACCAACCTCTTAAATTTATGAGAGGTGCATTGTGAGGTGTCTGTATCTCACCTTTAGCTGGCCCTACAGACTGCTTGAGGTCAGAAAGTTTTCCATGATCCATCCATCTTTGATCCCAAATTGACAAGCTTGGAAACAGGTGAAGGAACTGTATCATCCCTCTGGACCTTGAAGTCGGCTGATCAATATTAGCTTATACTGCTCTCTGAATGTGTTAGGAACCCTTTACAGCTCATGAAGATTTGCGGTGACATTTTTACTATACTTTGTCATCTTCTGGGAACTATGCTATTTTCCTTTGTAAACTACCTTCATCCTTCTCAGCTGAAGCAGAGTTAAAGTGGCTAATGCAGGGAATGTATTAACTGGGGCTTTTACCCCATCTGGCTTTCTTTAGCAATGTAAGTGGCTCCCAGCCTCTATGTTACATATCTATATCTCTATATAGGTATAATAGAGATACTTGCCAACTTCTGGAAAAGATGAGCTTCTTCATAAATATTTATCAACTTATGATAGAGGCAAACATAGAAAACCAGTTCAGAACTTGGCCTTTATATGCCTCTTCTGAAAGTAAAATTATTCTCACTGTGAGGGACAGGGCTTTGGACCAAAGCTTCCCAAGGACTTGAATACATTGTACTCATTCTCTTTTACCAATTCAGTCGCTAATGTGGTACCTAAATACAGATTAAAAGCTTTAGAAGGCCTTAGGTAGCAAAGGACTCAGAACCATTCCCCTCTCTCAAGCCAAAAAGTATTTCTGGGGGACACAGAGAACATCAGGGAATTGTTAACAGTAGGTAAGACTGATCTAGATGGGGACATTAGGAAACTGTCATAGGCACTTATATTTACTTGACACCTATCACCAAAGACTTTATATTTAAGACTCCATTTACTGGTTTGATTGATGCCCTTAGAAGCTCTGATAGAGTTGTTAGGAGCTTAGCCTCAACAGTGGAAGTAGACACTGTGTTTGAACTCTGGTCCTGTATATTGGAGATGTTTCATGTGTGTCTGTGTAAATTCAAAAGTGTTGTGTTAATAGCTGGCCTTGTGAAGATGATGGAGAAGATGTCATTAACAAATGAAGTATAAATCTTGGTGGGGACTAGGTATCCCCTTTCAAAATGTGAGTGTCTTTGGTCCTGGGTCCACCATAAGTAACCATGTGTTATGGCCATGATGCTGGCTCAGAAACTGTAGGACAGAGCCTCCTACAAAATCAAAAAGAAGTCAGTTACATTCATATAATTATATTTCTTCCTTGACTGTATTCACTTTACAATGTTTTACTAGTGAATTTTGATGATTCCCACCCACTCTGTGAAAATGTACTCACTTTGGAAATTTAAACTTATCCCAATAAGCCACCTTGGCATTTTGGCAGAGAGTTCTAAGCTCAAAGCCCTATCCCAACAGGTCTGGTTTCGGACCTGCTCACTGTGGTTTTCTCTGTGCTTGTTCCAGACCACACAGGTAGCCTTGTTTCTGACGGCTGCCTGAGGGGTTAGGTATAGAAGGTGCTGGGTGGTAAATGCACTGGAGACTGATTTTCTTGGTTCTGCAATTTCAGGAGTCTCAGATTTTCATAAGAACCAGCAAAACCAGGAATGAGGGTTGGGGGAATAGAGAAGTAGGTCTAACGCTCCCTCTCCTCATGTCTTTTCTGACTTAACACAACTTTTGGATCTGTCCTGTGCTATGGCCTGTCACAAAGGACTGTTTAAAAAGGGAAGCAAGCCACAGTCTTTCAGGACAAGTCTTTAACAGCAGCAGTAAAACGTGACCCTGAGCCATGGGAAAGGCAAAGGATGATACTGACTAATGAAATGAAGCCACCATTTCTGATGGGGGTTCCTGTTCTCAGGATGTGTGGAAGCTCAGTTCAGTCCTGAGGGCTTCTACATGGTTTATTCAATCTAACTGCATGCCTAGCTTGGCAGAATGGCAAATAGTGTTGAAAGGATGAGGTTAGGCTTTGAGGGTAAAATCAGGTCACAAAGCAGATGATTGCGGGCAGTTACAAAATGTAGACAAAGTTAAAACTGGACAGTTCCTTAGCTCCTTTTGCAAGAAGTCTCTAGGGAAGTGTAGTTTGAGTGTTTCTCTTGAGATTTTAAAGCACTAATTTTTTTTTCTTTCTTTTTTGGGTTGAGTATTCTCTAAAGACAATCAGAGGCCTGCCAGGGCAGGACTTCTGGCAGGTTCCAGCACTGTCCTTAGGCCTCTTTCTAATACTAACTCGTTGGAACTGATGCACTTTGTTTAATGTATGTTGTTCTTTTATTTTGTTTTTTTAAGCTGCTTGTTTGGAACAAAATGAAATGCATATTAAGTTGTATCCTTGCTTGCTGTTTTTCTCATAATTTTAAAAGTTATGCATTGAGGATAAAGTATACTTAAGGAGACATATGCACAAGAATACTATTAAAAAAAAAAAAACTTCCACCAAGTTTGATGATATTTCAAGGGATTAAAAAATAACTATTTTGGATGAATATTTTGCGTGGGGTTTTTGTTTTTGGTTTTGGTTTTTGTAAATAAGAGTGTGTATAAACTTGTGGTATAATATGGCAGTTTAAAGTGTTGTGAGAAAATTAAAACAGGTCTTAAGCTATGTTTAACTTCATTTAACAAGAAGAGGGCTTCTTGGCCAGAGTAAATACTTCAAAAAACTTTCCAGTGGGGCCTCACAGAATCATCTCTGAACCGAGGAGAAAGTTCCTTCCTACTTTAATAAAATGAACCTTTCCATAATTCTACCCCCTCTTCTTCTGTCTGATTCTTTTCCTCTCCAGATTTAGGTACTTTTTTATTGCAGTTCAGGAAAGGTAGGAAGAGCAGAATTTCCCCACAGCAGCTGCTCCTGTCACTGGGGACTCTGCTCCTGACTGAAGACTGCTTCTTGTTCCACTACATTTGCCTTGCTACAGCAGTAACAGGCCTTAAGGACTCCTCCGCATCTGGATGTGCAGAGCCATGCTTTGTCAGAAACTTCATTTTTCAGCTCTGTGCGCAATTTTCCTTGAGCTGTCTGTGTCTTCAAGCAATCAAGAGTCTCCTTATGCCCAACCACAGTCTCTTCTGCTTTAAGTACACATCCTCTTCTTTGGTTCTCTCTGAATGTGGACTGTAGCTGTTGATCATCCCCAGCATCCCCATAAGAGACCTTCTTAGACTTAAAGAGAGTAATGCTAATTTTCCTTACCTATTTATTTTCTTCACCTGATTTTCTGTATTTTCCCATGGTCAATATTTGTGGAGAGTTTTAAATTTTATAAATTAAAATTCAGTTTAATTTAAAAAGCATTTTGTTGCATGTTCTCTGTGCCGGGCACTATGTTGGATTGAAGGGTGAATAAAAACCAGTTCCTGCCCTCAGGAGGCTCACACACAGCTGGGACAGCCATCTAATTTAGCAGTCTGAAAAGTTCTAGTGGAACAGCACACGCAAGGTAATGTGGAAGCAGAGTGAGGAGAAGGAGGTCAGGTAGGCCTTGGAGCATAAGTAGCAGTTCATGGAACAAGGAATGCCACAGAAAGGCACAGAGGTGTGAAAGCGCATTGTAAGAGAGGGCTGAGAATTGGCTCTAGATTTTTGTTCTCTGGATAAATGAGGTTAACTTAAGTTAACCAAGAAAGCTTTATATAGCATTTAACTCTTGTGTAATTGGCATTTCTTGGTGGCTATCATTGAGGGAAAATTTCCCTAGATAGGGTATTTATTGTCTCACAAATGTAGCCTAGTGTCTACTGGAATAATACCATATGTGCACTGGTATTAAGTAGATGCAGCAGGAAGGTCAGGGACTCTAGAGCACCAACAAGAGGTGTCTGGAGAGAAGCCAGCGGGGGCTGGGAGGGTAAATGGAATGTGGGCTAGAAGCCCTGATAGAGGTGGAGAGCAGGTTCAAAGGAGTCAGAGAGGGTTAAGTGGAAGGAAATGTGTACATATGTTTGTAGGGAGGCATTGGAGACTGGCAAATACCAACAAGTTGATTTTCTTTTATGAATTACGTTCAAAATAAACAAAATAGGGATTCACATATTTTCAGTATAAACCTTGTCTATTTCTAAGTGAAGGCGATTGGATTGAAATGACCATTTAAATTACATTTAGCAAAGGGGGGAGGGAAAAAAGTCCACTAGGGACTGTTTGGTAACTCTGAGATTCGCTTTTGGCCAAGATATCAGTATTAACAAGGAAAGTAGAAGGACGCTGAATGCCTGGACTGGAAAACATGACCCTATGTGCTGAGTCTTAGATTGTTTTCCTTAACAACCAGCTTCAGAATAATCCAGGCTGCTTGCTGAAAATGCAGATAGATGATTCAGCCCTGTTTCACAACTACTGAATTGAAATTTCAGGGTGAAACCCAGTATTTTCAATGCACTCTGCGAGATATAAGGTATTTTCCATGGAGGGAAAACGAATTTAGTCACAGACTGTCCCTGCCCATGTACTACTGACCTGGAGCTGGGGATCCTAGGGCCCGCTCTCAGCTCCGGTGAGTGCTCACCAAGCACACCTGGTCTGTTCTACCTGTGATTCGGCTCACGACCCCGCCCCTTCTCCCTGGCCGGAGCCCCGCCCCTCGAGGGTAGAGCTGCAGCGGCAGAGGCCCGCCCCTACGCCGGGCCGGGCCAATCAGGCGCTGCAATCTCAGACGTCGGGTTACGCGCGGCGCTGAGTCGGCCGCGGGGCGGAGGTACCGGCTCCGGGCTCGGGACTCCGGGCTCCGGGCTCGGGGCTCGGCGGCACGGCCCCTGCAGGCGGCGTGGCTGTGCGGACCGCGACGCCCCACGCTTTTCCGCCAGCTCCGTCATGCAAGGCCCTGCCGGGAACGCGAGCCTTGGACTGCCGGGCGGGCCGCCCTCCACCGTCGCGTCCGGGGCGGGCCGCTGTGAGAGCGGCGCGCTCATGCACAGTTTCGGCATTTTCCTGCAGGGGCTGCTTGGCGTCGTGGCCTTCAGCACGTTGATGCGTGAGTCCGGGACCCCCACCCCTCATGAGGCCCTGCACCTCGAGTCGCGGGCCCAGGCCCCTCTTCGAGGACCCTGCTTGAAGAGTTCAGGCCTGGGGACCCTGGCCCTTTGGCGGAGGAGCCTTAGTCCCGCGAGCCTAACCTGGGCATTCCCAGACTAGGGGGAGCTCCCGTCCCGGACCCATTTATGAATGCAGCCCGTGGCCGCGGGTCACCCCTGCTCCTCTCCTACAACCCGTACACACCTTTCTTGAGATACCCTCTAAAACTCGCTTCCTTCCCACCTTGTCATCGCGAATTAAGGCTAACCACTTTCAGCCTGGGGCCATGACCCTCTTTTGGAGGGTCTTCTTAGCCTCCCCTCCGCACTGTGAACCCGCATCTCTAAATCCCCAGTTTGATACCGAGCTTTTTTCTGCACCTACACTCAAAAGATTTACTCTCTCCCGTTCGCATTTTAATTCCTCTACCCTGCAATACCTGGATTGTTAGTTGTGCACTGCATTCCCAGTACTACCTCCTCCCCTGTATGTCCTCCCACGCCGGAACTTCTTTCTCAGTTTTATTTTCTGTTTTGGTCGGAGCAGGACGCATCCAGACACCCTTCTTCTCTGCACATGTCCCCTTTTTTTCTTCCGGAACAGGCCCACCTGTTCCATCTACGTCCCAAACTTTCCTAATTAAGTCTCAAGCCTCCCCTGGCTGTTCCCTTTCTCAGCCAACTTTTATTATTTATATTTCAGTTTTCTTTCCTTTTTCATGAGACTTGAACAGCCTAGTGGCTTAATGGAGAAGGAGGCACAGAGTCAGGGAGGTCCCTGAATCCCTGTGCTAAGTCACCAGGGACCCATCCCTGAGAGTTTCATGATGGAGAAAAAAGCCCCAGAGGGCTCTTCTGGAAACTAGAAATTCCACCCTGCTGTCAAGTGTGCTGTCAGGTGGGGGGTTGTGTGTTTTCTTAGTGCACATCCTCCCTTTATAAATGTAACAAGAAGCTTCAGTTGGCTTGTAGGCCTATTGTAGGCCTATGAGTGCCCCTGCAATTGCATTTTGGGGGAAAGAAGGGTTATAACTATCCCAACAGAGGCATTAATTCCACAGTGACTTGTTCTCAGAACTTTCCCCACTGTGCTCAGAATGGGAAGTTCCTGCAGAAAGTCCTGCCTCAGCACTGGGGAGGGATCCTGCAGCAGTATGCATATGTCTTGAAAGGCCCAGTTGTTGGAGTATCAGCTTTGCTTGTTTATAACGTGGGGCTTATTTGGGTGATTTCTCCTAGGCTTTAGGTATCCCTGAAGATGCTCTTCTGAAGTGTGTGTGTGCCACTTTTTCTTTTCTTTCTAGTTTTTACTTGCCTTGCTATTTTCTTTGCTGAACAAATACCCACTTGTTCCCACAGTAGTAATTTGTGACGCCAGAGCCCAAATCAGCTGCTGACTTGGGTGCTTGAACTGTGTGTGTTTTCAAGACATTGTGTGTGGATCCTCACTCCCCTCCCACTTCGCTCTCCTCCAGCTGGCCTTCCTTTCTCTCTAAAGGAACTGCAGGCTGAGTTTTTATTTTGTTCTCTAATCTAAGATTTCTTAGCTTAGATCTGGCTGTTTTCATGGATTTGATTGATGCTGATGGCCTGACTTACTCCCTAGGGTTTGTTTCTTGTGATTTAGAGAGGGAAATGTGATGACCGAGTTCCTCGCAGCTGAGAAGGGGGCTGGGTTGAATGCGTTCAGAGTGATGGCCCTGCAAGTCTTCAGGGACACACTCACTTCTTTACTTAATCTTCAGTGTGAGCACGTGTGCAGATCCCACTGTGGTTGGTACTCTGTGAATGTAAAGACCGGACTAGAAAATGGTCTCTTGCTTAATGTAAGGCTAGATGCAGAGGGAGCTTGTGGAAATGGGTAGTAGGTCCTGGGACAGTGACGGGGAGAAGAGCTGGAAAGGCTAGAGCTGTGTCTGCCCTGGACCCAAATGAAGAGGAGAGCCAGAGCCATAGTCTCCCACCTAGAAGCAGACAGCAGGCCAAGGAGGATCCCACTGACTGGAGACCCAGTCAGGGAAGTTCCTTTCCTACCTCTTTTTTTTTTATTTTTTTTATTGCTTTTAGAAAAGAAGGGAGAGCGCCCTGGCCGGTTTGGCTCAGCGGTTGGAGCGTCGGCCTGCAGTACAGAGAGACCCGGGTTCGGTTCCCGCTAAGGGCACATACCTCGGTTGCAGTTTGTCCCCGGCCCTGGTTGGCCGTGCGGGTGGCAGCCACTCGATGTGTCCCTTCACATCGATGTTTCTCTCTCTCTCTCTCTGTTCCTCTCTCTTCCTCACGCTCTATCTGAACAAAAAATGGAAAAATGTCCTCGGGTGAGGATAAAAAAATAATAATAATAATAAAGAAGGGAGAGGGAGACAGAGAGAGAGAGAGAGAGAGAGAGAGAGAGAGAAAGAAACATCAATGAGAGAGAACATTTGCTGGCTGCCTCCTGCATGCCCCCCACTGGGGATCAGGCCCACAACCTGGGCATGTGCCCTGACTAGCAATCAGAATGGTGACCTCTTGGTGCATGGGTCAATGCTCAACCACTGAGCCATACCGGCCGGGTCCTTTCCTACCTCTTAAACTTGGATCTGTTGAAATACAACTGTGGGGCTCTTCCATTTTGCAACTGTGAGGAAATCCAAGGGGCTGCTGCATTTAGAATGACTTTACTGGGGAAAAGAGAAGGGTGGAGGTGGTCTCAAAGAAGTTCATCTGTGAGCTGTTGGGCTTTGGGGCTTTAGTCTTCTGGTCACAGCATCATTTTCTCAGCCTGGCAGAAGTGCCAGGCTCATGACAAGAGTGTCCACTCTGTAGCCCCTGAGGGAAGTCTTGTTAAGATAAGGCCACTCCAGCCCTGGCCGGTTTGGCTCAGCGGTTAGAGCGTCGGCCTGTGGTCCAGAGAGACCTGGGTTCGGTTCCCGCTAAGGGCGTGTACTTTGGTTGCGGTTTGTCCCCGGCCCTGGTTGGGTCGTGCGGGTGGCAGCCACTCGATGTGTCCCTTTCACGTTGATGTTTCTCTCTCTCTCTCTCTCTCTCTCTCTCTCTCTCTTTCTTTCTTCCTCTCTCTCCCTCCCACTCTATCTGAATAAAAAATGGAAAAATGTCCTCGGGTGAGGATAAGAAAAAGAAGAAAAAGATGAGGCGGCCACTCCACCCTTCATCAGTTCCATTGTTATCATCATCAAGCATATTTAAAATACCAGTCTTCTCTCCTGAGCGGTTTGAATTAATAGTCCCTGTCTGCGGAGTCAAGTCTTTCCCTTCCAGTGCTTTCTTCCCCCAGGCAGTGGGCTCAATGCCTCTCTTCTTGGACACGTCTGAGGGCAAGTGTTCCATTTCCCTGTTGGACCTGCTCTGTTTCATAAGGTGGACTCACTTCTCTGCCAGATGGTCTGTGAGGTGCTTTTCATCACTCTGCATCCCTGATTTCAGCGACTCCTCACCCAAGGATACTTTTCCATTTTCTTTTCTTTTTTTTGAGAGATGGAAGTGGAGGGAGAGAGAGAGAGATATCGATTGGTTGCCTCCCGCATGAATCCGGGAGGCAGAAGATCAAACCTGCAACCGACACACCCTTGACTGGGAATCGAACCTGTGACCCTTTGGTCCTTCCAAAGGCTATCGCTCTAACCACTGAGCAAGACTGGTCAGGATGTTGCTGTGTTTTTTTTTTTGTTGTTTTTTTTTTTATCCTCACCCGAGGACATTTTTCCATTTTTTGTTCAGGTAGAGTGGGAGGGAGAGAGAGGAACAGAGGGAGAGAGAGAAACATTGATGTGAAAGGAACACATCGAGGGGCTGCCACCCGCACAACCGACCAGGGCCGGGGACAAACTGCAACCAAGGTACGCGCCCTTCGCGGGAACCGAACCCGGGTCTCTCAGGACCGCAGGCCGACGCTCTAACCGCTGAGCCAAACCGGCCAGGGCTGTTGCTGTGTTTTTTATCCTGCAGGGTTCTGTCCTAGAAGGAGAATTCTCATGTATATTAACATCTTGGGGGAGGATTTTAATTCTCACAGGCCTTTCTCATCCTGGCGCTTGGCTCACCATGTGGGGTTTTCAGACAGGCTCAGTCCAGGCAGTTGAGAGTCTGTGTGCCAGGTGATATATGTAGCTGCTTCTTCAAGCTCCCTAAACATACAGAGCATTACAGGTCAGTGCCTGCAGGGATGTCCCCAGTGTCAGCATCACCTTGTTAAGTTGGTGAGCCTTCCAGAGGCTCCAGCTAGGAAAGCTGAACAAACTCAGAGGCAAGATTATACAGGGACTTCCCTCTCTGGGTTTTCTGGGATGGGTGTCCGAGTAGAAGGAAATGATTTATTTATTTATTTATTTTGTTGTAAACATTACCGATGTCCAGAAGGAAATGCTTTAAATGAGGGGCCTTTGTCATGATCTGCCTACCAAGCAATTCCTCCTGTTTTGGTGGCTTTATATATAGTCTGTGACTTGATGGAGTCACTCAGACTAGAGTCACAGCAGAATGGAGGTGAACAGTCCTAGAACCCAGCAGACTGCTCCAGTGCAAAGCAGAGGGCCTGCTGTCAGCCAGAGGTCAGTACTGGCCAGGGTGTGTGTTGGCATTGGTGGTGTTGACTCTCAGGATGTATGAAAGCAAAGCAAACTCAAGCCTCCTTCACTGTGCACAGTCAGAGTTCTGGGTTGACAGAATTGGTTTCTCACAAAACAAGCATTTTGAGCCCTGACTGGTTTTGCTCAGTGGTTAGAGAGTTGGCCTGCAGACTGAAGGGTCTCGGGTTTGATCCCTGGTCAAGGACATGTACCTGGGTTATAGGTTCGATTCCTCGCTCTGATTGGGGTCGTGCGGGAGACAGCCAGTTGATGTGTCTCTCACATCAATGTTTCTCTCTCTCTCCCTCCCTCCCTCCCTCTCACTCTGTCTAAAAATCAATGGAAAAATATCCTCAGGTGAGGATTAACCAAGAAAAAAACACAAGCATTTTGAG